AATATCTCACATTTCAGGGAGCCTGGTCATCCAGGGAAGCAAAGCTCCCCTACCTGTATATTGGACCTCCTGAGCAATAAAATTGGCTCTGCACTGCTGGACTCAGGTTCAGTTTAATATATGCTTTTCCTCCAGTGCAAATTCTTCCTCGACTGCTCCGCAAGATAAGGAAAGAGGAGCTTACATTTGACCTCTTTTAAACAGGTCAAACTTGCCATCCCTTTACCATCCTGCTTCTCTGGTTTTAATGGCCAAGCTGTTGAAGCCCAAATCTTGAAAGCTAAGGTACATCTAACTCTCATTCCCTCAAGGCAAGTAAAGCCACTTTGAGAAAAACTACTACTGAACCTTGATATTCTTTTTCATTTGATGTAAACACAAGCAAACAGAAATTGAGTAAAACTGATCTCTAATCTCTCCTAAGAGACATGGTGCAGCCTTGCCCAATCTTTTTCAAAAGCCTTCGGTTTCTCTTGTGAAAACCTTTACTCAAGGTATCTTATGGATCCGGCCATTATTACAGTATCTTGTTCTTTTGGGATTTCAAACTGGTCTTCTCTGCCCTGAAGAAGCCAAACTTTTTGAACCCATTAGAGAACTCTTCGTGGGTGATCTCTCCTGCAAAGCAGCCTTCTTGTTGGCTATCATGTCTTGTAAGACATTGTCTCATAATTGGCATTCATCTCTTTTAAGGAGCCCTTTTTAATTCTTCTCAGGAACAAAGTGGTTTTGTGCTCAAACCCTTCATTCTCCTTAAGGTGGCATCAGCCTTCAACCTTAATGAAGACATTGTCCTACCTTCCTCGTGCCCTGCTTCCAAGGATCCCAAGGAAACTGTTCAATTGTTTGAACATGATCTGGACTGTCAGAGTCCATATGAATGCTACAGCCTCTATTCAAAAAACACTTTGTCCTGCCAACAGCCTTTGAAAAGAACACCCTGCTTCCAAGTCCACTATTCCCAGGTAGAAAAGACCGCTCATTGTGGCAGCGTATGCTCTAAATCTGCCTTTTTAAAGCAGGGTGCTTTCAGGTTTCTTCAGGATATACAAACCAGCAGGTGGCTCAAGCCTGCCTTTTGGTTACACAAAGCCACAGGTATTCATTGTACACCATTATGACTTTCTAGCCAATGAAAACACAAAAAACCAATGATGTCTTCTGTTGAGAAGAACATCGGGTCCCTGCGCAGCACTCTTTCTTGCCCCTCCCCTGCCACTCTCTGTAAGCACTATGGTCACACTAGCTGAGTTAAAGCGAGAAACTGAGGGAGAAGAGAAACCATGGATACTAGTCAGTACCAGTGTGCAAAAATGTATTTGCTTTGGAAATCTAAATCAACTCTGACGTTGGATGTCCCACATGTGCAGATGTTTCTGTGTTCTGTAAAACTATTTGTTTAGTTTTTTACATTTTTGTAATGGGTACCTCAAGATTGTGCAGAATTTTAAAGGGTGCCTTGACTGAAATAAGGTTGAGAGACACTGCTCTAAAAGATATGGTACCTTTACCTTTACATGCTCACTCCACCATATTGGTGGGGTTTCCTGGGTATTCCACCTTCAGGTGTCTGTAACTCAGTTTTGTAAGGCTGCCACCTTGTCTTCAGTTTACATATTCACCAAGTTCTAACATGTGGATGTCCAGGCCTATGCAGATGTAGCTCTTGGCTGCAGGGTTCTTTCAGCGGTACTCTGACTTGAGTGTTTCGCTCTTTGTTGTCTTGTTGGCCCTGTTGCACAGTTCTGTATGCCTTGTCCACCCTCCTGATTTACTGCTTGGGAGCGTCCCATGGTCTATGAATATACAACTTGTGTCCTGTACTAGTGGATTAACCACCTCCAGTCCGGGCCAATTCTGACATTTCTGTTATACCTATACCAGACATTATATAGTTTTATTTTTTTAAGCAGAGGCCCTGGAGAATACAATATTATATTATTATACAGGATTTATATAGCGCCAACAGTTTTCTCAGCGCTTTACATTATAGTGGGAGACAATACAGTTAGATACAAGAGGGATTTGAGGGCCCTGCTCCTTGGAGCTTACAATCTAGGAGGGTGGGGTGAATGGTACAGTAGGTAGTCACTGTGGGGGATAGAGTGGTTGGAAGAGTAGAGGATTCCAGAATTAGCAGAGGGTGGGATAGGCTTCCCTGAAGAGAGGTTTTCAGTGATCGCCGAAAGGCAAGTAGAGTAGGTGATAATCTGATAGATTGGGGTAGGGAGTTCCAGAGGATGGGTGACGCACTGGAGAAGTCTTGGAGAGGAGCGTGGGAGGAGAAGATAAGGGAGCTAGAGAGTAAGAGGTCTTGCGAGGCGCGGAGTGTACGGTTTGGGTGATATTTAGAGATAAGATCGGTTATGTAAGTTGGGGCAGTGTTGTGGATGGCTTTATATGTCATCGTTAGAGTTTTGAATTTTATCCGTTTGCCAATCCCTCCCCGAGAGGGGTGGCAGATACGGAACGGTTAGTGAGGTGGATGAGTCTGGCAGCAGTGTTCATGATAGACTGGAGGGGAGATAGTCTACGATGAGGAGAGAGTTACAGTAGTCGAGGCGAGAGATATAACAAGGGAGTGAATAAGTTGCTTAGTGGTTTTTGGGGTTAGAAACGGTCGTATCTTGGAGATGTTGCAGAGGTGAAGTCTACATGATTTTGACAGCGATTGGATCTGGGGCTGGAAGGACAGATGGGAGTCTAGGATTACACCTAGTACCCTGGCGTGAGGGGATGGACTGAGGATTGTGTTAGCGATATTTATGGTGAAGTCAGTGGGGGTGGCGCGGGCAGGGGGGAATACTAGGAGCTCAGTTTTGGAGAGGTTGAGTTTGAGGAAGTGGAGTGACATCCAAGCCGACATGTCACTTAGTAGGCTAGTGATGCGGGTGGAGACTGAAGGGGTGAGGTGAGGGGTGGACAGATAATTTGCGTGTTATCAGCATAGAGATGATACTTGAAGCTGTGGGAGTTTATCAAGTGACCAAGGGAGAAGGTGTAGATGGAGAAGAGAAGGGGTCCAAGGACAGAACCTTGAGGGACCCCTACAGAGAGAGGGAGTGAGGAGGGCGGTGGCAGCGTTGTAGGTAACACTGAAGGAGCACTGCAATAGATAGGTGAACCAGGAGAGAGCGGAGTCACTGAGGCCAGAAGAGTGTAGTTTTTTGAGGAGGAGGGGATGGTCAGCCGTGTCAAAAGCTGTGGAGAGGTTGAGTAGTAGGAGTATTGAATAGTGGCCGTTGGTCTTTGCAGTTAGTAGGTCATTAGAGAGCTTTAGTAGGGCAGTTTCAGTGTAGTGTTGGGGGCGAAAGCCAGACTGTAAAGGGTCAAGAAGGTTGTTGTCAGTGAGGTGGGAGCTCAGAGAATTGTAGATGAAGCGTTCTAGGAGTTTAGAGGTAAATGGCAGCAGGGAGATGGGTCTAAGGTTGTTCAGGTTGGTGGGGTCTAGGGAGGGTTTAAGTATGGGAGTGATGTGCGCATGCTTTAGAGGGGAGGGGAATGCACCTGTAGAGAGGGAGAGATTAAAGATGTGAGTGAGGGAGCATAGGATGGAAGAGGAGGGTGACCGACCGAAGGAGTTGTGAGGGGACAAGGTCCAGGGGGCAGGTGGTGAGGCAGGCTTCTGAGAAGACCTTAAGGACCTCTTCGGTGGTAGCGAATAGTTTTTGTTGCGCTTTTTTGTCGCACAATACTTGTGCAGCAGTTTAAAAATACACTTTAATGATTTTTAGCGCACACAGATGCAAGTTAATACCCCATTTCTTTCGTAAAATATAAATGGTGTTACACCAAGTAAATGGAAACTTAACATGTCAAGCTTTAAAACTGTATACGACTGTGGATTGCTGACAAACTACGTTACCTAAAAAATCTCCATAGTTGACAGTTTAAACTGGTAGCTTGCAAAGGTTTTAAAGTTACACAGGGAGGTCTGGGGCTAGAAGTATTGCTCTCACTCTGATCACAATACCTGTCGTGTGACATGATCACCATTCACATATGCCTATGTGCATGTTCTCATTTGCACAGGAGAATGGCGGTGCTTTTAAATGTTTTTTTTATTTATTTATTTATTTATTTTTTGGTTTGATCAGATGCTTTTACAAGCTGGTAACAGCTTGTCAGCAACAAACCAAAACTGACAAAATCCCCATTGCTTCTGGTTTCTGAAATCACAGAGGGGGAGGCAGGTAAATGTACCTTCCTCCCCTCCCAGTGGATCCCAAAAAATTAAATTGCTACAAGGACAATATTTTGGCGGATGAAAAGCTGCCCAAATTTGAAATAAGGGGAAAAAAAAAAAATTTTTTTTTTGCCTTGCCTGTATATTCTTTATCTTGAAGTACAGGGCACACTATCCAATCCCGTTCCTGTGTTACATTGCATGCTAAGAAACTGAGGTCTTATGCAGTTGGGTAGGGTTATTGGGGTATCCTCAAGGGGGGAGGGCTTGTCCAACAGTTTTCCAGCCTCCAGTTACCTGAATGTAGCCGACATGTGAACAGGTCTAAACCAGTCCGTTAAGATTTGAAACTTTACAAAAAAAACACTAGTGGATCAACATAAAGGGTGCCATTTTTGCATATACCAAATGTAATATTAATTGTGGTTAGTTTGCTAAATTCAGCAAAAAGTAATATTGTGCACAAACATGACATGCTTAAGTGTGCTTCCTGCAACTTTTGGGAGGGGAAGTTGGGAAGGAGGAATAGGGCTGTATTTACAATCCTGGAGGTTGTGGCTCCAACACAGATCAGGCTGTACACAGAAAGCTTCATCAATAGTATGTGAGTCTCTGTAGGTGAGCCCTGAACTGTAACACAATATTGATTTCAAGATAAAATCCACTGTACTTTGATCAGGATGGCAACAGGAGCTACTTATTTTTTTTGAATGTATATACTGTATTAAGGGAGAAACTATCATAAAAAAAGACACTTTTTTTTTTCATGTATTATTGAAAACCTGTTTATAATTCTCTGTAATCTTTCCTCTAGGAACTGTGGAAATGTTTTCTGCGCTGGCTGCTGTCACTTGAAGCTCCCAATTCCTGACCAACAGCTCTATGACCCAGTTTTGGTTTGCAATACCTGCTATGACCATATCCAAGTCACACGTGCTAGGGAGCTAATGTCTCAGCAGCTGAAGAAGCCCTTAGCTGCAGCATCAAGCTGAGTGCCAACCAAGAAAACAGATCTGGCTTCAAGCTCCTCCTTTAGTTTTTTGCAGCCAAGATGAAGTTTTGAGGGGATGGCGTGACTACTACTATATGGTTGCATGCCGGTGAACACATACTTCTGTAGTAAGCAACACACCGGCTTACCTTAGCATTATATTTCTGCACCTTGGCAGGTTTGTTCCCAACACAAAAGTGTAGGATTTGTGAAGGACAGCTGGGGTTTTAGATTTTGGTTTCAGATTTCTCTTGCCATAGCTAGGATTAAGATCCTTTTTGTTGAAGGTTTAAAAAGGAAAGTGGTCAGACAATCGGGTGGCTGAGAGAGGAAAGGTGACAAGAATTCAAGCTGCATTGTCCTTGTTAAAGGGGTTTTCTTTTTCTCTCTTTTTTTTTTTTTGTGTGTTAAAGTGAGATCTGGTTATGGTGGTCTTAGCGTATGTTTATTTTGTCCTAAATCTGTCTCCCGGTCAGGCTGTGTCTCCTGCTGCTTTTGATCTTGTATTCATGGATAAATCAAAAATTTGGTTAAATTGTTTTTGCATTTAATATGCAGGATTTATATGTAAATAAAAGGGTAACAGGTAGCTACAAAACTGTGAATATTAACCCTTGTATTGCTTAGAAGAGCTTGCTGCTACATGTAGTGGGTCCCTTTTATTGCAAAGGGTTTGTGTATAAGTCTTTTCTCCACTTATTTGTCTCAAGCTCTGAGGCTTTAAATACAACCCTTACCCCTTATTCTCCATTTCTGTGTTTTTATAAATGTTTTATCTTTTTTTATGTTTGTCTCACATATGTCTCTTATTTGGCTATACTTGGGTTGGATCCTTAAAACTTGATTTCTGATTGGTTAACAAAAGTGTCCTGTTGAACTTTTAGGTCTTGGCTGTTCCTGTGTTTCTGTCGAGGGGCTTCATAATAAATGCTGCTATATGAATTTTTGTGCACTTAACCAATGTAACCCAGAGAAGGGACGAAATGTTGATACCAAAAGGTTTTGTGATGCTAGGTTAATCGACTTTGTTTTACTATTGATCTGTAAAGTGCCACTTTGCTACACAATTAGCCATGATGTGTCATTTATTGCTTGAGCATTTTTGTAAATACTTAACTCACCGGCTTTCAAATCTTAGAGGTCGGTACCACACTGCAGTCCGATTGTCTGTAAACAAAGCGTGAAACTGCTGTCTGCTTGGGAAAAACGCAAGGCAGCGATGCAACAGTTGGTTGCGGTCTGTGGAATCATTGTAAAGGAAGTAGTCTAGATGAACACTATATGCCGTCTTCTTAAAGTGACTCTGGATTAAGAGGTTATTCCAGAATCAACTTGGATAAAATATGTCTATGCAGCACTTATTTTACCCATCTGCTTTACAATCTTGGTACATTATGGTTCAGTGTAGTAGACTGTTTGTTAGAAAATATCTTCTCACCTGAATTGCATGGCTGCTTCCTGGGAGGAGAGAGGCGAATGCTGGCAGTGTTATCCATTGAAAGAGGTATGCTGGTTTTAATATGGCTTCATCCATTTAAATCTATAGGTGACACCACTGTCTTTGTTTGGGATGGTTGTTGGGGATTCCTAGTTTTAGGTAACCTATGATGTCAAAGAACATAGAGTAGAATGCTGTCATACTGTCACTAGTACACAGAGAATGTTGTGTTCAGACAGTGAGCCGGTCCTGCCATTAATGTGTGAACAGAGGAATATATACTTTGACCATTGTTTCTTGACAGAGCTTGTGTTGAACATACTCTGTAATGAAACCGGACAGGTGAGATTACACTCTGATGGAAGCCATTCCCTGTCTCTCTAGTAGCTGCACACGAGTTGCAGAGCAGTGGATCAGTTGTCAGAAAGTGTTGCTGCCAGAGTACTAGTATATCTCTGGGATCATAGAATGATAGCTTCCATCAGAGCCTAAATACACAACTGCTGTGTTCTGTGACAAAGGACCAATGACCGTAAAATGCAGGTCTTCCCTTTATAAAGGAGCTGTTTTTAACATTTACTTCACACACCTTTTTCTGAAAGGTAATCAGAAGTGAGTGGTAAGTTTGTGGAGTACCAGGCTGCGCTCAGCTGATTTTTCCTTTCTTATTGAAAAAACATGGCAGCCTCTTCTAAGCTTAATGGCCCATGATACATCAAATGTTTGATCTCTGCACAGAATATGTATTGCAGTGTCAAACATTCAGTTCTGTGTAAACAGGACCTTTATATTCATAACTATTTTGTATGTATGAATGTTATTAACAGCTGCTTTATATGGAATGCTGCCAGTCAATCGATATATGCCAGTGATATTACTTTGAAGTTTGGCATTTTGTTTAGTTATGTTTTTTACAGTTTAGTTACCACTAACAACTAATCCAATTATGGCTTTTTGCAGCTTAATGGAGTCAGACAAGTGACCGTTTCTCTTGGTTACTGCACTTTATTCATTTCCTTATTGTATATGGATGCTATTGTCTGATTTTGTAGTGACTGCATTCCCAAGAAAATGAGTTTAGCCTGAACAATGGTTGAATCCACTTTGCCAGACAGTAGGGTCAGTTTAGGGAAAGCTCCACAAATTCATCAGTGAAGTTTTGGTAGGCAGTTGTAGGAGTGAAATGTCCTGACCACTGATTAAAAATAACTTTGTGTTAACCCTAGGACCTGTTGGTCCACACCTTGCCCTCCCTGTGCATTTGTTGACCTTCTTGGATCCACCAAGAAGTAGGGGGAGTTGAAGGTGCAAATTAGTGGGTTTCAGAAATGGGCTAGGTCAGAACTTTCAGCCAGTAGAATAGAGGCACCGAAATGAGCATAGTCAAATATTTTGCACATTCTGCCACTAGAATGGTGGCACAGAGGTAAGCATAGCCAGATATTTTGCACATTACATATGGGTCAAGTCACTACCTGTTTTCTTGGACAAAACTACATTTTCAGCTGCTGGTACCACAGCAAAAAAAGTTGCTCCACATATAACTTAATGGCACTTCGTGGGGGTAACCTACTGTGGTCTAATATATGGGCAGTTTTCATTTCAGTTAAGCAGGTAAATAGGGCCCATGCAGTTTAGCACTTAGATTTTCTTTTAAAATTGAACTCCAGTCAAAGATTCTTTCATTTTGGATAGACTCAGACTTACAGCCTTAGTAAACTTTTTAATTGCCTCATTGGGGAGGTTTCTCCTTACTTCTATTTTAAGGGTGTCAAACAGAACAGGAGGTAAGTGGAAGTCTCAAATTAAAAAAAAAAAAAAAAAATCTAAAAAAAAATGCAAAAAAACTAGTAGAGTGGGGATGGGTTAGAACCTCTGTTAGGTTTTTATTTTTGTCTGTTCCCTGTTGGGAAAGGGTGATGTCCCCTGATTTCCTGTTTTTTGTCTCTTTCCAGAAAACGTGAGAGGAAATCCTATTTAATAGGGACACACAGCAATTAAATCCTATTAGACTGTCGAGCCCTTTTCCACTCTTAAAAAAAAAAAAAAAAAAATATATAGCTGGAGTTTTGCTTTAAAGAGAAAACATGTTTGAATCTGGTGGCAACACTAATCAAAGCTTCCGACAACAATTTTCATTACTGGTGTAAAGATACAAGTAGTGAAGAACGTATTTCTGTCCTAGCTGCCTCTTTTCAATAACACGAGCCACATTCCCTTCCCAGGAGGATATTTTATTGTGATGTGGAAATATTCCATACTTGTGTGTTCTGTGGAAAACGCATTATGTATGTTACCCTTGTTCCCTGAAGCTGAGTGTTTGGGAAGGGGATTGTTCCAACAGGGTCGCTCCATAGATCAAATGATTTGGATTTATGGATCAAGCAAACAATATGTTGTCAGAATACATCTCTGTAAAAATATATTATGTGTACAACATGACATGTGCTGTGAAGGTGAAACACTTCAAAATAAAGATAGTTATACCAGTTGTCTGCTGTCATTGCAATTCCATTACAATTGTGTTTTGTGGGAGAAAAAAAGTGTTGTGTGAATGTGGAAAAGTGAGATCTGCCTGGTATTGAATGTCTCCACTTTACCTTCATTGTTCTGAAAGTGGAATAAACCGAAAATAATTCATTTACTGGAAGAAAGGGATCACAGTCTACCTAGAAGGAAAGTAATGCTTTTATAACAGATCTCCTGTCCATATCATGTGTCTGGGCCAAGGGTAACAAACTCGCTGCTGGTAATCTAAAGATTTGGTCACTGAGGGGTTGATTTAGTAAAACTGAAGAGTGCAATATCTGGTGCAGCTGTGCATGATGGCCAATCTGCTTCTAACTTCAGCTTGTTTAATTAGCTACTTGCCCATTGGGAACTTTTACCCCCTTCCTGCCCAGGCCAGCTTTCACCTTTCAGTGCTGTTGAATTTTAAATGACAATTGCGCGGTCATGCAACACTGTACCCATATGAAATTTGTGATCAGGATGGGGTTTTTTTTACACGTTGATTGCTTATACAAATGAATTTCATCAGTAAAAACAATTAAACTGTTATTCAGTAGTTTTTGTTGTGATCAGCTGTGATTGGCTATTGCTGATCACATGCTACAGATAGGCTGTGATTTGGCCCAGTCTGTACATGTGATCACTGACCAATCACAGCTTGCAGCACAGTTGTAAGCAATGAAAGGAAGCCATTCATGGTTTACAATTGTCATGTGATCTGCTGTGATTGGTCACAGCGATCACATGACACTGGAAGCCAGTGACCGATCACTCTAGAGTGCGGTCTGATCCTGGGAGGACATCATATGAAGCCCTCCCAGGACATTAGGGTTCCCACTCAGCCGCCCTATTGCAGTAGGCCGGTCGGGAAGGAGTTAAGCTTTGACAGTAAAAACCTGTTAGCGGATTGGTTTCTACGCAGAGTTGAGATAGATAGATTTTGTACTCTACAGTTTTAGTAAATCAACCCCTGTGTCTTGGCCTAATAAAATGTGCAATTTCATACAGAGTTCTAGAGGTTAATGTGGGGAGTTTGAAAGCCAAAATGCATTGTAATAACTAAAGAACTTCGTTATGCTCCTTTTTGATAAAGCTTTGGGGGGTTTTTTTTTTTGTTTTTTTTTTTTTAAATCACTCAACCTTTGTCTATCTACTGGTTTGGGTACCATCAATTTTATCTTAGACACGGATGTCCTGACAACCAAAAAAAGGACCAGCCCCAATGAAATGCTCTATAACACATAAAGACTGTGTGTAGAGAATCAGAAAACTATCTTTAACCACTTTCCTTCCAGCCTATGTACATAAATGGCAAGACAGGAGCAGTGCAGGAGTGGGTGGCCGTTTTATAAACACCCTCCCGCTTCCCTGCCTTTGTGTGCTCCCTGGGAGCACGCGGCATCTCAATCCGGTGCCTGCTGTGTCCGGAGGAGGTCCCGATCATGTGATCACTGATTGGCCAATCAGTGATCACATGAATAGTAATAAGCAAAATGTCACTTCTGACATTGCTTACTACTAGTGAAATCTGTGAATGATCACAGAGGTCACATGGTACAAGGCTATTCACAACAGCCTTGTACCAGTTGACAGTACCAGGTGACAAGCTGTGACCAATCACAGCTCTCACAGTATTTCTCTCAATGGCTGCAAGAATGCAGCCAGAGAGAAGGAGAAATGATTGCTTTTACACCCATAAAAGGCTGTAAAAGCAATCAGTGTAAAAATAAAATCACCTCCCACAGTAGTACAGTGTCACTATGGTGACACTGTACTGCTAGGGTGACAGTATGTTAAAAAAAAATCAAAAAATTATATTTTTTCAAAAATGTTTTTTACATTCTTATTTTTTTAGTTATAAACTTATTTGGGTTATTTATTTTTTTTTACTAAAAAGATAGCTGCATACATTTTGGCCAAGTTTTATGAAGAAAGATTTGCAAAATTTTATAAGAAAAACTTTATTTTCAAAATGTTTGGACTTTCTATAGCAAAAAAATAAAAATCCCAGTGGTGAATAAATACCACCAAAATAAAGTTTTATCTGTCTCAAAAAAAATGCTAAAAAATTCATAGGGGTACAGTGTTGCATGATCACGCAATTGTCATTCAAAGTATGATAGCACTGAAAGCTGAAAATTGGCCTGAACAGGAAGGGAATGAAAGTGTCCGGACTTGAAGTGGTTAACAGTGCTTCCAGATATGCCCACTTTTGGCAGCCTTACCAAGTGACAGGCAACATATTTGCTATTCTTTTATTTTCTCAGTTCCATGCTATGGTGTGCCACTCTTGTGCTTCTCCACATGGCAATCATATGGAAATCCTCAGGGCTTAAACATAGTAGTGGTAACTGCTAATGTAATCTAAGTAAACACTACCACTATGATTACATTTTAATGTTTAAGTTGGGTTTTGGATTATTGAGATTGGCTGGGGCAAGGTGGGGCGTCATAAGGTGAATTCCTGTGCCCTTTTAATATATACTTTTCTATAACTACAGACAAAAACAAAGAAAAATAATTTAGACATACTTTATACTGGTGGGTTAACAAAAAGCTACAAAGGATGTCTTTAAAGTGGTTGTAAATGCTCAAGGTTTTTTGCCTTCATGCATTCTATGTATGAAGGTAAAAAACACTCGCCTAAGCCCCCTGTTGATCCAGTGATGTGCACTGGAGTCTCAGCTATCCCAGGACTCCCTCTTCTCATTGGCTGAAACAGAAGAGGTAGCCATTGGCTCACACTGCTGTCAATCACAGCCAGTAATCCAGTGAGGAGAGGGGGTGGGGCCAAGCCACAGCTCCATATGTGAATGGACTGTGGGGGCACCCGACAGGATGGATGGGCCAGGAGAGCCTGCGAGGGACCTGAGAAGAGGAGAATCCGGGCTGCTCTGTGCCAAAACCACTGCAGCCTCCCACCCGCTAAAGGTGGTTCTCTCGTTCTGGGAGGATGTCATATGACGACCTCCTATTCTCACCACGCATGCGCGGCTCCGGGAGCGTGCAGCGCGGCAATCGGCGGTACGCTGTGTCCCTCGGACACAGCAGATGACCAATCTACGGAAAGAGCCGAAGATGTCGGCTCGGTCATGCGATCAGCTGTGTCCAATCACAGCTGATCACATGTAAACAGGGAAATGCCGGTTATCAGCATTTCTCTCCTCACGAGCTGTCCCGCTGACAGCTCGAGAGGAGAGCCGGCAATCGGCATTCCTCAGAGGGGACATCTACACAGATCATCGGAGCACTGATGATCAGTGTGCCCTGATGATCTGTGTAGCCCCAGCAGCGCCACCTGTTAGTGTCCATCAGTGCCAGCTCTGTGCTCATCCATGCCACCTGCCAGTGCCCATCAGTGCCACATCGATGCCACATATCAGTGCCAATCTCAGCTGCCTTTCAGTATCGCCTATCAGTGCCAGTCAGTGCTGCTTATCAGTGCCATATATAAGTGCTGCCTTTCAGTGCCCATCAGTGATGCCTGTCAGTGCCCATCACTGCAGCCTCATTAGCTCACATCAGTGAAGGAGAAAAATCACTTATTTACAAAATTTTATATCAAAAACTAAAAACCTTTTTTTTTTTTTTTTTTTTTTCAAAATTTTCAGTGGTTTTTGGTTTAACAAAAACTAAAAAACCCAAAGTTGATTAAATACCACCAAAATAAAGCTCTGTTTTAAAAAAGATAAAAATTTCATATGGGTACAGTGTTGCATGACTGCGCAATTGTCATGTAGGCTAGTGGTTAAAAAAACAAAGAAGACTTTAAAATCACTTTAAGTCATCTTGAGAGTGCCCAATTAAATGAAGTGACTTGATTCGATAGATTGGTATCTTTGTACATCAGTTCAACATAGATGTCGGCCTCAGAACTTGAGAACATTTTTTGCATGTATAAGAAAATAAGTTTTATTGGTTTATCTTGGAGAACAGTGATCACTCATTGAAGGTCAATTTGATATACATTTAAGGGAGTAGCACAGGGCACATTGTGTGCTCCGAATTGTACATATCCCCATCCAGGGTATTGAATGCAGTTTTGTATATGCATAACTTTCAGGCACATGGGGCTGTCTGATGTACTGGTGGTGAGGAGGGTAGAGATGTAAAATTATGAAGTCATGAAATTTTTTTTTTTTTTTTTTTTTTTTTTTTTGGGGTGGGGGGGTATTTCTGGAAAAAATTTTTTTTTTTTTTTTCTGAAAAATTTTAAAAAGTTCAGTGTGGAGTAGCTTTACAAATTTTGTACACATTGTTGCACTGGGAATGTGAAATGCCTTGTGTATGAAAGTATTATGCTTGAAATAAAAAGCTCAGCTCATTCAGTAAATGAACTAAACATTTTAAAATTGTTGTTTATGATAAATGGAATAACTACATTAACCGTATGTTGAAAACATTTCAACTATACACGAGAACAGATAATACCTCCTTTCCCTCATAATAATTTTAAATGCTTCCTGCTAATATGCATATCCAGTTATTGACAATACTGATCCAGAAGCATGTGTTGCTCTTGCAAGTGCTTGATTAATTTTCTTCTGATTTCAGTTGTCATTTTATCTATAAAGGAAGAGATTTGTGTATTTTTAGGAGTCAGAGATTTGTAACACTTCCTTACTTGAAGATGCTACTCATGAAGAAACACTTTGTGATGATCCAGAAGCCGCAGAAAGAGTGTTTCTAAAAGGAGAACTCCGGGGGGTAAAAGCTACTCACACTTTCAGTATGATTTAGTACAGAAACCCTACGCTATTATTATAAAAAAAAAAAAAAAAATTCCATAAAGAACAAATAATAAAAAATGTGAAATGGCAGCTATCACTCCACAGTGCAATCACCACACTAATATCAATAAATGTATACCTTCTAAGAATGAAACACTCATACAATTAAGTGGTGAAAAAAACCTGTGAGAACAGTCCTATATGTCATCCAATTAGATTGTAAGTGTCCCAAAAACACACCACCACAGTTAATGTGCCACGGGTAAAGGAAAATCTTCCAAAGTATCAGAAATCTTCCACCATGGACTGCCACCACCCACGTGCCCAGTCGGGTGTCTCCTCGCCTGATGAGATGGACCCCTTAAAATAATCAAGGTGGCCAAAAGTGCTTTAGTCCCATATGCAACAGGTCAGCAGAACGCAGGTCACATCTCCATATTCTGCAGCTCTTGCATAAAAAGCTGAAGGAGAGATGCAAAGAAGATCCAATCGTGTGGTATTGCCAATGACTTTTTAATAAAAGAATAAAAAGGAGTAACACTCGCAATGCATACAAATGTCTATTCACAGCATGCATATACACAGTTTTAGATCTGTCAGCTCAACAAGATGGCATCACACAGGTCCCACCTGGCTCACTGATATCGTCCCCTCCGGGCTTTCTCAAAGGCTTATTCTGCAGCAGGACAACAACCCCAAATGAACAGCCACTGTCACTGAGAATGATCTTCAGCGTAAAAAACAAACCACTTCCAGGACACTGTTCTTTACGCTGAAGATACTTCAAAATGAATTTGGGGCCAATCACATACCTCCCTGATGGTATGGCATGCTGGATAAGTATCTGCCTGTACCTCTCAGCATGGAGGACACCATTGATCCTGAACAAATCTCCAATTCTATTTACAGAAATGCAGCCCCAAACGTGCAAGGAGCCTCCACCATGTTCGCTGTTGTCTGCAGACACACATAAAGTGTTCTTGCATGGCAAGACCACTTATTGTTATCTCACATATATATTATTATAGCCAAATTTACCACCCTAGCTCCTCCCACAGTTTTTACACTACATAGACAGTAATATACCGACACGTGCGGATTGTTCCCAATTGGTGTGCTATTACTTTGTGGAACGTTTCGCTGAATGGTTTACGAAATATCGGCGTTTTTTGTGGTGAATTGGTCCCATAGGAATCAATGGCAGAATGTTCAAAACTAGAGTGGGAGCTGACAAAACCTTTTCACAATTACTCCAACCACACAACAGTTACTCAAGCCACTCCACCCAGTTACTCTGCCCACTCCAGCTGTAGACTACTGGTGGAGGCAAGAACACTTCACACAATTTCCCCAGAAATTGTAGCTTTTCTAGTTACTGTGCTGCTCTCCAGGCCTTCGGCAAACAAACTGCCTTCTGCTATAGCCAAATATTTAAACTTTTCACCACCTGCTGCCATTTTTTTTGCACTATGTTTTCATGCGTACTTGAGTTGCTTAGCCTTGTTTCCACGTTAGAGGTATGGCTTTTTGGCTGGAATTCTTCCATGAAGACCACTTCTGGCTATACTTCTCCGGGCAGTAGATGGATGGACCTGGGTGCCAGTTCTGTACTGCTGGACATCTTAAGAAGGTGAAGGTAAGTAAGCATGATCTGTCTTTCATCTACTGCATTGTTTGCTTGGCCAACCACTGCATCCATGGTCCTCACCATCGACCGTTTTCTTTGCAATTCTGCAAAAGAGCTAAAATAGTACATCTTGAAACCCCAGCATGCTTTTGAAATCTTCACTCAAAACAAATGGGTGAATAATTACTTCAATTACCCAATCCTGTGAAAAGCATTTGCACATGACTGGGTATTTAAAGCGAACAGGAATTTGCCTTTACAGGATTGCAAGTAAATTTGTTTTTGGATATTATGGAAAAGGGTTGGGACCTCTTCAAGTTTACTCTTGTCTGGGTCCATATTAAAGAAATTTCTTTTCACTTACAGTGGCCTTGTCTTTATAGGAAGGGGGAATCTCTCCAACTGGTGTGTGTGTTCAAGGCAAAATTAAAAAGAAACATTTTAGTACATCTCTACAATACATGTCCATTTTCTTATGTTATATCCCTTTAAACGAGCTGCAAGTACAAGGAGAAAAATTTATTTTTCAGAAACATACAGTTAGGTCCATATGTATTTGAACTCGGGCACACTTTTCATACTTTTGGCTCTGTATGCCACCAGAATAAATTAAAATTAAGCAATCCAAATGAATTTGAAGTGCAGACTTTCAGCTTTAATTCAAGGGGTTGAACATATATATCAAGTACAAATTTTAGGAACTGCAACCATTTTTATACACTGTCCCTCCATTTTTAGGGGCTCAAATGTAATTGGACAAATAAATATAATCATAAATAAAATGCTAATTTTTAATATTTTGTTGAGAATCCTTTACTGGCAATGACTGCCTGAAGTCTGAAACCCATGGACATTACCAAAGACTGGGTTTTCAGCAAGTGAAATGCATGCTGAGTGGGGTTGAGATCAGGTGAATGACTCGGCAATTGCAGAATATTCCACTTCTTTTCTTTCAAAAAGGGTTGCTTTTGCAGTGTGTGTTGGATCATTGTCCATCTGTACTGTGAAGCGCTGTCCAATCAACTTTGCTGAATCTGGGATGAAAGTATATCTCTAAACACTGCAGAATTCTTCCGGCTGCTTCTGTCTTCTGTCACATCATCCAGAAACACCAATGACCCAGTGCCACTGGAAGCCATGCATGCCCATGCCATCACACTGCCTCCACCATGTTTCACAGATGACGTTGTGTGCTTTGGATCATGAGCTGTTCCAAGCCTTCTCCACACTTTTCTTCCTGTCATTCTGGTACAAATTAATCCTAGTTTCATCTGTCCAAAAAATGCTTTTCCAGAACTGGTCTGGCTTTTTTTAGATTTTTTTTTGGGAAAGTCTAATCTGGCTTTTATACTCTTCAGGCTTATGAATAGTTTGCACGTTGTATTGAACCCTCTGTATTTTCTCTTGTAAAGTCTTCTCTTGATTGTAGACTTTGACAATGATACACCCACCTCCGGGAGAGTGTCCTTCACTTGTCTGGATGCTGCGAATGGGTTTTTCTGTACCATAGAGAGGATCCTGTGATCATCCGCCACTGTTGCCTTCCATGGATGTCCATGCCTTTTTATGTTGCTGAGCTACCCAGTGCATTCTTCTTTCCTCAGAATGTATCAATCTGTTGATTTGGCCACTCTTAATGTTGCTGCTATCTGTTGGATTTGTTTCATTTTTGAAGCCTTGCAATGGCCTGTTTCACTTGCATGGACAGCTCCTTTTGAAAGCATGATGTAGATTCACAGCAATAGATTCCAAATACCAAACTTAGAATTAACTCTGTTATTTCTTCATCAATTAGGCAGGTAAAAGGTCTGAAGGAGTAGCCCACACCGGAACATGAAACAACTTTTGATTCAATTGTCCAATTATTATTATTATTATTATAAATACAGGAATTTATATAGCGCCAACAGTTTGCTCAGTGCTTTACAATATAACGGGAGACAATACAGTAAGAATACAGTTCAATACAAGAGGGATTTGAGGGCCCTGCTCCTTGGAGCTTACAATCTAATTACTTTTGGTCCCTTGAAAAAGGGGGGATGGCTACTCTTAAGAGCTGTAATTCCTAAACCCCTCCTCTAATTTGGATGTACATACCCTCAAGTTAAACCCGAGTGTGCACTTTCAGCCCATATCCATTATATAACTAT